TCAGGCTTCAACTGTTCCTCTGGTGAATCCCAGGTCTCCTTAGCATGGATCCTTCACAAACCTTTCCAAAACCATGAAAAGGAAGATGCCCTTCCACATTCTACAACGCCAGTACTCCATTCTTACCAAAACTACAAACAGACCTGAGAAAGAAACTAAAGACCATTGTACCTATGAATCCAGATGCAAACTTAGGGTTATATTAATGTGATGAAATACATGAGCAAAAGCAACATGGGGAGAAAAGGGTTTATTTCACTTACATGTGCATATAATAGTTCATGTCCCAAAGTAGTGAGGGCAAGAACTCCAGCAGAGTAGGAACATGAAGACAAGAGCTGATGCAATGGCAAGAAGGGGTGCTGCTTACTGGCTTGCTCCCCGTGGCTTGCTCAGCCTGCTTTCTTATAGAATCTTTCTTATATGGTGAAAACAATGGACATGTTAACACAGAAATGGGAAATTTTTATGAGATCCTTCCTCTACACAAAGAGCTACAGGCAACTAATGACAGCTAGGAGAAGAATTATCCTCTCCCAGGGATGACAACATTATTGATTGTCCAGAGTACAGACTGCAGAGTGGTAAGCCTTGAAACCACGTACACACCAACAATAAAAATAGAAGTAGAAGGTTTTATATGGAAAGATAAATACCCTTTAAAATCTACCCTTTAGAGCTCCACAAGGAGACCAACAGAACCAAAATATCTGGGCACAGGGGTCTTTTCTGAGACTGATACTCCCAACAAGGACAATGTATGGAAATAACCTAGAACCCCTGCACAAATGTAGACTATGGTAGCTCAGTGTCCAAGTGGGTTCCCTAGTAAAGGGAACAGGGGCTGTTTCTGGCATGAACTCAGTGGCTGTATCTTTGATCACTCCCCCTGATGGGGGAGCAGCCTTACCAGGCCACAGAGGAAGACAATGCAGCGAGTCCTGACAAGACGTGTTAGGATAGGGTCAGAAGGAAGGGGAGGAGGACCTCCCCTATCAGTGGACTTGGGGAAGAGGCACAGGAGGAAAAGAAGAAGGGAAGGTGGGATTAGGAGGGGGCTAGAGCTGGGATACAAAGTGAATAATAAATTATAATACATTTAACAATAAATTAAAAACAAAATATATATATATAATCTACCATTTAATGTGTATATAAACATACATATTCACATATGTGTGTGCTTATACATGTATGTATGTATGTAACAATAATCAAAGAAAAAGGGGCTATCAACTTGAGGGTGGCAGGGAGAACATGGGAGGAACTCAAGGGAGGGCAGTTGGGGGGGGCTACATGGAGGAAAGGGAGGGGCAAAGTGATGTAATTCTACTTCAATTTTTAAAAATGTGAAGAGCTGGACAATGGTCATCAGTGGCTTCCATATAACAAATCAGTGGGGAATGAATTCTATCATCTGTCTCCTTGGTAATGCCCAATGTAACAAAAGAGACACGAGGCAAAACATGTCCTGAAAGAAGCATCAAAACAATCCACAGATCTAAATTTGATTGAGCCTTTTGTAGATCTAACTGTTAATTAAAATAAAATGAGAGATTTCAGAAGAACATGTTCAATGATATCAAAAAGGAATGCTAGCAGCAAAACTGAGACTACAGGAACCCACAGAAAAAATGGCATAGATCGTTATGAGACACAGAAAATAGAAAATAAAACACAAGCCATAGGGTTGTATATGGCTCTTGATTCTAACAAATCAAATGCATATTATTTCATTATACATCTATTTGCATTGTTTTTGCATGTACATTATATCTGTATTACACTAACAGGGGCATCAAATACCAATTAGATGTGTGATATTATAAAAGACTTAACTTTCCAATGTCCTCATGATATTCTAATTGGAAATATACACTAAAATATTTATAGATAATATTATATAACATTTGGGATTGATTTCTAAAACTAGATGGGGAAGACAATAATAATGACCATACAAATTGGCCACCTGCTAATCATGTTGCAATTGGGCAGAGACTACATGGGAATTTAATGTATTGTTTTACTTTTGTAAATGTTAAAATTTTCCATTAATACTAATTTAAAAAGCCAGGCACAGAAGTTCTCATCTGTAATCCCAGCACTTGGGACTGCAAGGTCAAACCCAGCCAGGCCACATGCAACAAAATTTTAAGAAAATTTTACTGAACGCAGTTTTGAGGCATCCCACTGTGGTAAGTGGTTTTATTTATGCTATTGTTTAAGCTTTTTATGCCCTGCAATTGACACTGTACCTGGATACTAGTAAGCAATTGAGAAATATAACACAATAAATGATGGTCTCCTTCACTGAACTAAACAAAGAAAGCCCACTGACTGTGGTCCTGTGCTGTTTAATATCCACTGCCAATTTGACAGAATGTAGAATCACTGAAGAGAAGCCTCTGAGAGTAGCCATAGAGAAATTTCTAGATTGGTTTCATTGAGGTCGGAAGATACACCCCACAATGTGGGTGGTCCCATTCTATAGACTAAAGTTCTAGACTGCATAAAATGAAGCAAGATGGCGAAGCACCAGGATTTATCGGACCTCTTCAGGCTTCCTAACAGCTGGCACACTATGACGAGACATTTCACACCTCTGTCACCATGCCATCCCCACCAAGATAGACCTTACCCTCAAGCCATGTGCCAAAATAAACATTTCTTTCTTTACGTTGTTTTTGTCGGATATTTTATTGCAGTCACAAGAAAAGTAGTCAACAAAATGCCCTCATTCCTGCTGAGCTAGGGCAGTCAAACAACAGGGGAAAAGGTACAGAAGACCTGACTTTAGATTGTCTCTTCTCAGCTACAGGACCTTGAGTAGAAAGACCCTAACAGTAGCACACCTGCCTTGAGGGTCAAATAACAAGTATAAAAAAAATTGGAAACATAAAACCTTTATTAAAAGGTTGTACAATAATTGCCTTTCCCCTCTCTGGCCCCATCTCCTTCTCTACTCGTTCTCCCTCAGCCTAGTACAATTGTGTGTATCAGATGTTCTTGCTCCTCCTTTGTGTTTGTGAGTACTCAGAGACAGCGTGTACAGCACAGGTCACTTCAGAAAGCCTTCTGGATTTGAGTGTCTGTTTCAGTCACTACTGTAGCTAACTTCGCCTATCTTGAACCCCAGGGATTTCTGTACGCAGTTCACCTCAAGCAGTGTGTGCTCAGGCTTTGTAAGCCAAATAACCAGAAGGTTGTCCTATTTATAAAAAGGCTGAGTATCACAGATGATGGATTTTCAATGAGGGAGGTGTAGGCTTGAACCTAAGAAGTGCTTCTAATCCTCTGTAGTTATCCAGCACTTGTCCACCTGAGTTTTCTGTTTTGTATTGTTGCGTGTTTCTTTTTTTTAATTTTGTAAGTTGTATTGTAGAAGCAACTTGGAAACAAGTTAAAAACATCACACACCAAAATTAATCAGACTCAAATCTACACAACTCAATGAAACTTCTACCCAATTAGAATAAGGACTGAAAGAGGAAGCTGTGGAGCTTCATGTTAAATTTTACCCTTTCAGTGTCAAATATATGTTTACACTCTTACCCGTCACTAGAAACCAAAAACTCCATAACGGAGTCAGTACTAGAAAAACAGGTAACTTAATATACTCTTTCAGAAGCCGTAACCGTAGTCCATCCTCACCGTCTAATATTTAGCCTTTCTTCTTCTCTTTTCTCCTTGTGTACCCACAAGTGTATTTTTTACATACATACATACATGCATCATCGCCTAGATCCTGCAGATGAGGGAGACTCACTTCTCTACCTGAGCCATGTTGCATGGAGGGGTGCTTATATAGATGTGTATAACAGTAGTTCTGGCACCCAGAGGAAGGAGTTCTGAAGATTGTGAATGTACTGGGTCAAGTTGATAGCTCCCTCCTCCTGAACTCTCCTCTCTGCTCACCTTCTTCAATAGCCCTTTGCGCATACTTCATATCAGCATTTGTCACAAAGTCGTGTTACATGTTCTATACCTGATCCTTACTCTGCACAAACGTCAAATGTCTAGTTTGTCCTTAACATTCATCTATCCTCTCTACTGGTATAGCTTCTTTTGATGACTACTGGTCCTTGTCTGGTAAAAGACACTGATTTTTATCTGACAGAATTAACAGAAGCTATTGCCATTTCTGGAGAAAAATAAAAAACAGCAGCATAAAGATCCAGATCGGACATGACAAATTCAATGGCCAATCAGTAAAGTCCAGCAAATAGAGGAATGATTGGGGATTGTAATGTATTTTCCACAGTTCAGAAAGGAGAGACTTCACCTCAGTGCTTTGGGGAATTAAAGGATAGACTTATCAGTGTTCATGGAGGAATGAAACTCTGGTTTGTATGTAGGGCATCTGAGCTGACCCATCGGACTTAAAACATGATATGACTCCACTGAAATGTGCTTCTGGGTACATAGCAACCTGAGCCAGTCTCCTGCTGATTCCAGTTCTGAGGCATCTACATTAAGCTAGACATAAAAAGACTCTTACTGCAAGAGGAGTAGTGTGGCTCCTTCAAGTCTGAACTGCAAAACTTGCTTATTTTTTTCTGTTTTAAGACACTGAGACAGGACCTCATATAGCCCAGACCAGCCCCTGACTCACTAAGCACTCAGGGATAACTGAACTTCTTATCTTCTAGCCTCTGGTCTCAAGTTCTGGGAGTACAGGACTGTACTATCAGGCCTGATTTTTATGCCATGCTGGGGATCAAACCCAGAGCTTCAAGCACGGGATATAAGCATCTGGAGCTATAACTCCAGCCCCACCTTAGAACTTTCTATAGCCAGCTTGTGGTGTGACTCTGATCTAACCCTTCCAGACCTATAATCCTTTTGCTTCATCTGCCTATCAGATTTTACAGTCAGAAGAACTTCCCCCAAAATCACCATCTGTGGCTTTCCTCTTTATCACTACACTGTAAAATACTTTCCTCTCCCTCTGACCACAATGACCGTCGAAGAAACTGACACAGAAAGACAGCTCTTACCCTCGTGGTGGTGATGTCACACACTCTGCCCTCATCCTGCACAGTGCAACATCCATTGTCATCCAAGAAGCTCCTCCCTTCTTCTCTTGCTGGAGTACAGAATACACACCGGCATTTAGTGACTTGGAGAAGAATGTGGTCCCCTGGTTGTGCAAGTCAAAGCAGACGCTGTAATGTCAAGTTCACCTGCAGAGGAAAGCACCAGCCAAGTTGTCACTATAGGGTAGAAACAAAACCAAGGTTTCCATCACCAACTCAGTGCTCTGGGCATCTTTTTTAACTGACACAACCTTCAAGCCCCATGGCACCTTCATGTAGAAACTGGTCTTTTCACTCTACGGAACCCTGGCTCCACCTGAACTCATGGATAGGATTAAGGACTCCTAGAACTTCACCTCAGTGGAACATCTGGAGCATCACATCTGTCTTGGGCCATGAAACATCTGGGCACTGATGTTTAAGCTGATAAACTGGGCACCAGAGTTGCTACTTCACTCACTTCCTCACAGCTGCTTATAAGTTATTCACCTAGCCATTCTATTGAGGATATGCTTATATGCTTCTAAGTGAATATACTTTAATCTGTTTCAGAGGCAAATTTATAGGCTTTACTGCTCTAATAGAATTGATTTCCACTGCTACAATTTGAAATCAATAGATTTCAAAGGCTGGCCAAGCTCAATTCCTCTTTATTGTACATTGCTGTATGTTACAGATCAGAGATGATTTCAGCCCTTAACGTAAAGTCATCCACAAACATGAGTATGTTCTAACATAGACTGGAGGGGGTCTCTCTTCCTGAACAAGTTAAAGAAAGCAAAAATTTAAAAAATCCCAACCAAGTAATCTTGCCTCATATTGATGTATTTCCATAGGTCAATGCTGGCATTAAAACATCTACCATCGATGTTTTTCATGTTTTCCAATCAACATGTAGCCCAAAAGGAGGATGGGGTAGTCATAGAGAAGAAGAAACTATTGATGTTGAGCCAGAGATACTTAAGGAGTGTCTGTGGCTACATCAGTCATTAAACAAACATTCAGCATGGCTGAGGACCTTCTGTGACCTGGGATCTCACATGGCATACAGCAGCTTCTCCAATACCCCAAGAGCTCATGGGTCCTAAACCAAGCAAACATGGAAAAACAAACATGTCCGAACAATATCCTGGGGGCAGTGCAGGCTGAGCCTGGGAGGAACATAGTTTACAAGTTGGTCCCAGCAGGGACAGAGCACACCCTGATACTCCTCGGGGGTACATATCCACTTCTAACAGATCTGGGTGGTGGGAATGATCCAGAAGTGAAATGCAGCTCCATCCAAACTGAGCTTCCTATGTAGAACTCTTGGTAGAAAAGCAGAAAAATGTCTTTATAAGGATGAATAGCTGGATTTCAGAAGTTAAAGGCCCCTGTATCCTCCTCCATCCCCTCAGCCTCACCTTTTTCCTCTCTCTCCTCCTTTTCACTGCCTCCCAGCAGCACCTTAGACATCTGCCTCCCAGACAAAGGCAAAAATGCTACTGTGCCTATTCTTCCCCCAGACACTTTTCAAACTACAGCAAAGTTTAAGAGAAAGTAGGGGGCTGCAGAGATGGTTCAGCAGTTGAGAGTACTGACTGGTCTTCCAGAGCTCCTGAGTTCAATTCCCAGAAACCACGTGGTGGTTCACAATCATCTGTAATGGGATCCATTTCCCTCTTCTGGTGTGTGTGAAGACAAATAACTCATATCCATAAAAATAAATAAAAGAAAGTTTTAAAAGAGAGAAAGTTTAAGTTAACCTGCCTGGGAGATAGTTAATTAACCCTGAGCAGCTTTGGTATCACTGTATTCATTACCAATAGAAAAAAAAAAAAAAAAAAAAGCAAAGAACACTTGAACTCTTGGCTAGAAGTTCCTTGCTTGGGCTCAGCACAGAATGGTGAGGGCTGGACCAGAGACACACAGAGAGGTTAGCCAAGCGTATCCTTTCCTTAGAAACCTGTACCCAGGGAGGCCTTCAGTGGATATGTCATGCATAAATGACAAACAGCTTCCTCCCCAACACTGAAACTCAGAATTTGTGTGCCTTACTAGATTTTCTGTCCCCTTGACCACTACCAAATGCTGGGAACTAGGGAGATGGCTCAATCGGTAAAGCACTTGCATCAAAAGCCTGAGGACCTGAGTTTGATCCCCAGAGACCATGTAAAAAGGCTGGCTGTAGTGTCACACCTTTCTAATCCCTGCAGGCTGAGACAGGAAGATCCTTGTACACCAATGGTAAACCAGTCTTTCCTAATAAACACGCTCCTAGGCAGTAAGAGACTCTGCCTCAAAGGAAGTGGAATGCATTTCTCTAAATAATACCCTAAGTGTTCTTCTGGCTTCCGTGTGCATGCACGTGTGCAGATGTGTTCGTGAACACACACAAACTCACACTCATGCCCTAACCCTTAGATTTGATCAATTGTGTTCTAACTGAACACAACAAAAATCGATAGCTAGTATTTTCTGAGCCCACCCCCCACACCATCCTTGGTACATTTGTGAAACTTTTACAAATATCTCCTCAAGCTTCGACCACTGCATATGCCAAGTATTATTCTCATTTTAGAGCTGGGACATTCCAACCCAAAGAGGCTATCTGCCTACAGTTCTACACTCAAGAAGTTCCAGAACCAAGGTTCAAGAAGGTCTGCCTGCTAGTCACTGTGGAAATCAAGGCTCTTCTAGTTATCATCAGGAAAGGCTGAGGAAGAATTGAAAGAAGTGGGCAAGACAGAACCCAAAGCTTCAGACAGAGGGAAAGGAAGTGTGGCCATCCAAAGTGCTCTCCCCGCCCTCTTTAACAACCTCACCCAACAATGCTTGTTTCTACATGTACCTACTACGGTGGTCAGAGTTGATCTACTCAAAGGGATCTTAGGTAGTGGTTTAGCACTGAAAAGGTTTCTCACTTTGTGATTCGGGCCAATCCTGGCAAAAACCCATCAAGCTCCCTGAAAGGCCTGCTTCCTTCTGCAGAACTCCTATTCACGACAACTGAATTATCTTTTGTCGTTTCCTCCAGTCTGGCTATTTTTCCTACAGCATTCAAAAATATCCACAGTGACCACCTCCATTATTGAGGGGGAAAGGTGAAGAGTGTAAGTGCCGTGCCGTAGTGGACTCCTCCATCACCTAGACACCTGACATACAGAAGCTATGGAAAAGGAAACGGATTACAAACAGTACAGAGGAGTGACCACAGCCTCCCTAGGCCATCACCATAGGTATGGGGTGATCTCTAAAAACTGTGAAATTGTGCTTGGTAAAGCAAAGAAAATACCCCTTAACATTGCCAGACTGGCCAGTGCCCTCTGTACCCACACACAATTCTATATGTCCCATCATTGTGCCACATTCTTCTGAAGTGTTATCACACCGGCATGCCAGTGCCACCCGCTAGCCGGAGAAAGCCACCATGATCAATCTTCACAGTAACTATCCCTGTCATACAGTGTAGCTTCACACATTTTGTTCAAGCCAATTCCTCTCCCAAGCCTATAAAATTAAACGGTGAATTAGAGGGGGGAAAAAAGCAGTAGAGATAAAGAAAGGGGGTTGGCCAGAGGCAGAAGCAGAGGGGGAACCTGGGTAGGGCAAAACGGCTGTGAGAACCTATCCTAGAACTGGAAATGCAAATGAAATCACCTTATCTTGGAGTCAGCCCACTCTGACTCCCAAAGGTACAGAATCTGGAAGCCAGAGTCAAATCCTCAGAAGGTCTGTATCCTTAAGCAGCCTAACACCTCCTTTGCACTGACTCTGGGCTCCAAGAGGCACTTCCTGGTGTCTAGAGAGTATGAATCTTGCCAACAGGTAACACATGAACTGCTCGGCCAACACACACTCTGTTCTTGATATCTATCAATGTGTAGAACTTAGAAAAGGGGCAAGAAGCTTGTGTACAGTTTCCTATGAATTTTTATGTAAGTCAGTATTTTAATTAGGGCTTCTATTGCTGCAATGAAACACCACGATCAAAGCGACTTAAAGAGTAAAGGGTTTATTTGGCTAATACTTCCACATCCATCACTGAAGGAAGTCAGGACATGAAATCAAACATGGCAGGAACCTGGAGGCAGGAATTGGTGCAGAGCCCATAGAGGGATGCTGCTTCCTGGCTTGCTCATCTTGACTTGTTCAGCCTGATTTCTTATAGACCCCAGGACCACCAGCCCAGGGATGGCCCCACCCACAATAGGCTGGGGCCTCCCACATCAATCACAAATAAAGAAAATGCCTTGCAGCTGTATCTTATAAAGGAATGTTATCAATTGAGGTTCCTTCTTCTCAGATGACTCTGCTTTATGGCAAGTTGACATAAAACTCCCATCAGAGTTTGATTAGTTTTTTTGATGCCAGAAAATAAGTTTCTTAAGTTGCACAGCTGGCCTTCGTCTGTGATAAGGACCCTGGAAAGTTGAACCTATAAGAAGACTCCTGACCCAGACAACTTTCCTGGAGACAGCTTGGCCTCACAAATTCCCACAGTAGATGTCTCCATCTTAGCAGCACCACTGTGGTAACTGATATCCAGGAAGGGATGAGGAAGACAGACCCACCAGCCCAGAAAACAGACTGGCATCAGGTGTATATCTTTTATAGAGCAGCAGCAAGCATTTTTACACAGCCTTTGGACCAATGGGGAATTGACACCAGCTCTGGATAGCCAACCATACCTCGCTCACTATAAGGAGGTGCCAGGCCTGCCAGCACCCAAGGGAACATCCATGCAGGCTTGGAAAGCAGCCACTGCCCTGTTCCAGGCCCATTCTGAGGCTCTGCCAGTCGTCTGGGGTCCTCCTTTAGTGTCATGTGGTGTGCCAGTGGAAATGGGCACTCATACTATTGAGAGGTATGGAAGCTTCCCTCACTGTGCACTGGACCTCACCTGGGGCCTCAGCACCCATACTCCACTACTATAGTGCAGGATGGTTATCTCTTGTGGGAGTACTCCCACAGACTGTAAGAGGTTTAGCAGTATAGGCCCCCACATACTAAATAACATGGTTATGACAATCAGAAATCTCTACAGAGCTGGCAAGCTATCTCAATAGCTAAAGCTGTTTGTCATCAAGGCCAGTGATCTAAGTTCAAGCCCTGGGAACTACACAAGGAGGAGAGAACCAATTTCCATAAGTTGTCCTCTGACCACCACAAGCACACCATGAAAAGTGTATGTACACACACACACACACACACACACACACACACAGCCCAATAAGGCATTCTTTTCAACGTCTCCAGACCCTGTCAAGTATTCTACTTAGGAAGCAAAATGATCTCCAGTCAAGACAAGAGCTCTATAAACGAAGTAAACATTCAAGACCTTGTTTGCAACTGGGCATGCAATAATGCTTTCCTTTCCTGTGGGCAAGAACCAGAGGTTGTCCTCCAACACTTATTCCTTTAGAATCAGTCATGGCAAGTCATGCCCTGATGCCAGTCCAGAAAAAACTTTAAAAATAAGGAAAGATGTAGTCAGGTGCGGTGGTGCACATGTTTAATCCCAACACTCAGGAAGGCAGGAGCAGGCAGATCACTGTGAGTTCGAGGCTAGCCTGGTCGACAAAGTGAGTCCAGGACAACCAAGGATACACAGAGTAACCCTATCTCAAAAAAACCAAATAACAAAAACAACAATAATGAGGAAAGATAAAAGCAACTTTAGGGGCTGGCCAGATGGTACCTTAGTGGGCAAAGCACTTGCCACACAAGCATGAGGACCTGAGACCAGCCATGGAGAGACAGAAATAGGAAAATTCCTGAAGGTCACAGTCCAGCCAAGCCTAGACAAGCAGGTGAGCACCAGGTTCAGCGAGAGACCCAATCTCAAAAAACAAAGTGGAGAATGGTCAGGGATAGCATCTAACATTGACTGCTACCTTTACTGTGTAGTCATACATGTGCACATGCATACACACACAGCGCCATGTACACACGTGCACACCCGTGAACGCACACAGATGAACACACATACACATGCACAATGTGAGTCTGACCTATTAGCTCTCAAAGTATGTTTGATGTGATGTGAGTATAAGGATAGTGATTTTTTTTTCTCTGTGAGAGTCTGCCTTCCATTTCCTAGGAAGTCATTCCATGCGTGTGTATTCACATGGCTTCAAATATATAGCCTGCTTTCTGCAGTGAGACCGCTCCTGCTGAACATGCCCACGCCTAGGCAAAGCTCTCACCTTGTAGAAATTCAGTGAATGTCTTGAAAAAAAAAAAAAAAAACCGCAAAGCCGTGTCAGTTTCGTGGCCTTGCCACTACTCATCGATCGCACACCAATTTTTAATAAAGCCTGAGGGTAATAAAATTATAGGAATAATAATGGAAGGTGAAATTCTATCCCGCCTGTCTCTTGCTTAACTAATGAGAATTTTCATCCAGTGTTTTGCTCCAATAATATTAAAATATCACAATCAGGCTTTCATAATTGGATTTACTGTGCTAGAAAAGTTGTAGTGATATTTAAATCTGATAATCCAAAGCCATCAGAAGAATCATCTTCCAGTCGGTGCTGACAGTGGACTGCCACCGGTATTCCTGAACTATATTCTCCTCCAAGTTATCAAATTCCAACAAGTACCTTAATATGAAAAATCCTTGAATTCACATGATTTGTTTTTAAATTTCAATCATCCCCAGAAGGAAAATGAAAGCTTCTCTGGTTATAATATATTCAAGGATTAAAAATAAATTTATAGACGTTCTGTTTTTCAATGAGAAGCCTGGCTAGTGCTTTCTAAAGCGAAGTCTCTAAATGATACCTGAGAGATCAGTGTAAGCTCTGTTTCCCTCTTGAGTATCTCAAATGAGTGTATGTGAGAGCATCCCAGCAATCCCTTAGGCCTGGGGCATTCGTAACTAAACACCACCTTCTTCTCCTCCCCTTCTGTGTCTCCAGACAACCTCCCCTGTGGGAGAAGAGTGCAGCAGGCACACAGCTGAGTCACGTCCCCAAGACAATCTATGACACGAAAGCAGAGGCAAACAGGCCAGAAGCTGCCTGGGGAGGTATGCCTCACATAGATAAGAACAGCACACAACCACTGACCCTAGTCAGTCACCCCTCAGTATTAACAGGGCTCTTAAGTCACTCTGTGTGGTCCAGAAAACTTTCACCCTTTCCTCTGGCCCCAGGAAAGAACTATACTAGCTTGATTTAATCAACCTTGCCTTATGGCTGAGGAAAAAGGTTCCCACTGCAGGCAGGAAGGTAAATTAGCCCAATTGGGGGCCTGAGATCTTGCACAGCCTAATCCTAGCCTTATCTCTCTCCCTTTCCCTGATATGAATGACAACCCGCGGTGCTGAAGCACTGATGGAGAGAGGAAGGACAAGCTGGCAGCTTTGCAGGGTGCAGGGGAACACAATTTAACACAGATGGAAAAGCAGAGTGTGAACTGGTTCTGGGAAGGCTTTTCTTGAGGACATAGCAGCCAGAAGGCTCACCTTTCACATTTCCAATGGTATCCTGAGGAAAATAAATCACAAAAGTGTTAAAGATGCATGGAGGAAGATGGCTAATGCATCATTAATTAGTCATAAGTTCATGCCAAAAGCCACTTAAATGTCCATGCAGGGGGAAGCCCTACATCTCCTGGAGATAGCCATGGTGTAGAATCCTTGACAACAGTTAAACTCATAGAAAGAAGCCGAGTAAACTCTGGAATCTGGTGAGTCTGCTCTGTGGTCTTCCATGTTTGGGATTATTAATGATGTCACTGTCTTGGTTTTGAGTTCAGTGTCTAACTCCCACTATGAATTCTAGTCTGGCCTTGAACTTGTGATATTCCTACCTTAGCCTCCCAAAGACTGGTAGTACAGGTATGTATGCAAAAAGACACACAGCCCTACGAGTAATGGGGTTTTGCATTCATTTTACAGATGGGGAAACTACTGAACAAAAAGTTACAAACTCTCCTGAGTCAATGACTACTAAAAAAAGGTCTCACATAGGCCAAGGCTGACCCAGACTCACTGTGTAGCTTCCAAATTCCATCTCCTGGCCTGCACTAGAGTGCTGACATTAATTATGGACATGTACCACAATATCAGGCTTAATGCCTGCTTGGGGATTGAGCCCAGAGCCTACGCTTGCTGGGAAAGGACTCTACCAACTGAGCTACAAACCCAGGCCAACATTCAACAACTACTCTATGATGGCACCATGATTTCTACTCAAGCAATGCTTTAAAGTCGTTCTCCTAACCGCTAATACAATAGAAGAACAGGTCGAGTCAGAAAAGTAAGACAATTATAATACACTGTATGGCCTGCTCCTGCTTTGCAAAATATGCCTGAATTGATCATAGACTGAAAAAAAAAATCTGTAATAACATACACCAAAATGATGTGTGCATTTTTTTTTTCTGGATGATAAAATCTGGCACAAGTCTTGCTCTTGACTTCACATTTGTCAATGTTGTATAAATTTCTTGAAGTGTGTTAAGTATTATAAAATACTTAGGAAACAGTTACACCAACATGGAAATATAAAAGTGCACAAGCAGCCTGGGTCAGTAGTTTGATCAGGAAGGAAAAGAGAGACAGACAGGAGAGGAATAATAAGTTCCTGTGGGGAACTTACAGGCTTGCCGGTGGTAGAATCTTCAGCTGGGGTGCCTCTGTGTCCTGAGTTGGATTGTGAGCTGCTTTAATTCACTGAAAGCTGCTTTACCCAAGGGCTACCTGGGAAAACAGAAAGAAAAAAGCAATGTGAAGTTTGCCCTCAGAGCTCATAGGAGTATATAACAGAGCAAACAGGTAACCAAGAAACTGCCACAGAAAGTGGGTGCCAAGTCAGTTCAGAGGAGTCATAGTCTCTGCAATAGGAGGAGAGATGTATGTGGGGAGGAGCATCAGAGCCAAACCTTGAGGGGCACAGCAGGTGTGATCAGGCAAAGAACAGAGGATGGAATGCAATTCCAAGTGGTGGAAGCTTATGTCAAATAAGGAAACAGGAAAAGAGCTGGTAAGCATGAGTTCAGCCAAGATGGAGCCTAGGAATTCAAGACACTGACACATTCTTTCCTCTTAAGATGTCCAAAGAACTGCACCTGTACAGGTCACCCCTTTCCAGAGCTAGGATGAGGGATGTCCCCAGGGAAAGAGAACTGGGTTACCTGCAGCCCTACAGTCTGCCCTGGAACAAGCAGCCCATACTCCAAACCCCCAGCAATTTCTATCAATCAGAAACCAGTCAGAAATGCAAAAATCTCCAGGCATCAGTACTGTTCTTTGGATGTCTAGAATAGAAGGTTCCCTTGGGCACCTCAGTCCCCAAGAATTCCTGGGCTCTAAGATGGCCAACAGCAAAATCTAGGAGAGCCATCAAAAAATGCAAGCAAGAACAGAAACATGAGCTACTTTCAGTCACTCATCCTCTTTTCATAGGCCCCTCTCTCCACAAAAGGCAGCACAGGAGATTGCAGAAGAATCTTAGAAGGGTTATAACTTGACTCTTAATAACTCCAACTGAAACTGAGTGGTTCCTTGCATTAATGCAGGCTTGGGGTAATAGTAACAACATGGCTTCTGCAACATAAAAAAGGCCTGTATAATCTCCAGGCCCCGCAGGAGTCCTTGCAGGTTTCACAAAATGTCACTTAGACTTAACAGTTACTTTGAGTTTGCAGTAATTACATACCTACTCCTATGTCTTCTTTAATGATTAAATAAAGGAACACCTATATTTCTCAATCACAATTTGGTCTTAGTATTTTGATAAATACATTTCAGTACAGTAGGAGTCCTTTATATCCTGTGGCTTTTCTGTTTTGCATTCTGTTTTGTATTGTAACAACACTATTCTGATATTAGGAGCAGGGAGTGTTTCTAAATCTTTTCCCTACTTGTGGGACCCTTTTCCCTTCACTAGGTTGCCTTGTCCAGCCTTGATGTGATGGTATGTGCCTGGTCTTACTGTAGCTTGTTGTGGCACAATGTTATGTTATGTGTTTGGTTGATGACCCTGTTCTTCTCTGAGGGAAGAGGGTGGATCTGCAGGAGTGGGGAGACTTGGAGGAGGGGAACTGAAGTTGCAATATATAAGAAAAGAAGAAAAATACTATTCTGAAAAATGGTGCATTGCCTCTATGATGGCCACAAGGGCCTTTGGCACCAAAAAAAAAAAAAAAAAAAAAAGAGGTTGTGAATTCCTCTAGTAAGTCATGTGTTATTGCTATTCTGTCACCATCTAGCGGCTTCCATCTTGGAGTCAGTCAAAGTTTCCTCTGCTGTTCTTGTTCAGCAGCTCAAGCTCTTACCCACAAGGCTCCTCCTGATCATGCTTATTCCTGCCAGTGAGCTGTGTGCCTCAGGGCCTAGATGATCTATTCTCAGAAGGCTCTAGTCACAGGTGCAGTCCAGGCTTACTTTCTTTCAATAGCTTTTTAAAGGTGTATTTATATATTTATTAAGTATACAGTATTCTGCCTGCATGTACACCTGCACACCAGAAGATGGCTCCAGATCTCATTATAGATGGTTGTGAGCCACCTTGTGGTTCCTGGGAATTGAACTCAGGACCTTAGGAGGAACAGCCAGTGCTCTTAATCTCTGAGTCATCTCTCCAGCCCCCAGGCTTGCTTTCTTACTTTCTTCAGTCAGTAGTTCGATGATGTGACCTTGAGGAGACCTTCCTCTGCTTATCTGGTCTAAAATGTCAGTACCTGAGACTGGAGAAATATAACAGACCTTATGAGCACTAGCTTTTTTTCTAGAGGACCCAGGTTCAATTCCCAGCACCCACACAATAGCTCACAATCATTTTTATGTAACTCCAGTTCCAGGGACTCTAGTGTCCCCTTCTGGGTCCTTGGGCACCAGCCACAAAAATAATGCACAAACACACAACACAGGCAGGTAAAGCAGACATACACGCACAAAAAATAGTTTGTTTTCAAGTTAAATAAATAATGAAAAAAATAAGACATCACTATCTCCTAAAATTGATTCTTTCCTTGACTTATTTTTAATCGTTAGTATTTGTCACTCCCTAAAATATACTTAGGAAGAAGGATGGCTAGAGGGCTCTATAGGTAGAGGTGGCTGCTGCCAAACCTAAAAACTTGAGTTTGATCCCTGGATCCCACATGGTGGAAGAATTTCTCATAAGTTGTCCTCTGACCTCCACACACAAGCCATGCCCATATGTGTGGGCTTGTGTCACACATGTGACAAACACTTATGCATGCACACGAAATAAATCAAAACATAATGAAACAAAATTAATACACACACACATATACTTAGAAACTCTATTTCTTTAGAATTCTCACTCTGCTGTATAAACCACAATACTACAAGTGCCTAAAACCTCATCTGACACATAATAGGTTCTTAAAAATTATTTGCTGAATCAATTGACAAACTTTTGATTAACTTGCACTTTTCACATTCTCTTTTTCAAGTCCTCTTGCCCATTACGTTAAACGAGAGAGAAGGAAAAAGAATCACCGCCAATGTGCTTTTGAAATTATGGTCAAAACTTCAACTAAAAAAAAAAAAAAGCGCCTATCTATCAGGTACTGCAGATGGAAAACACTTTTTCCCTTAATCAAAAAGAACTCAGCTGTAACATACACACACACACACACATCACTGAATCAAGTGTATTGTAAAACAAATATAAACAAGTAAATGAAAAATGAGTAATAGGGAATAAAACCAATAAAAACACACAGGGCATTTTGTAGTAGGGGTGGAACTGGTTGATAAAATCATTGCACAGAATCTACCTGGTACATGATAAATGGAAATGAGCAGCACTTGGATCCATGGCGCTGGTAGTAAACCACCATGTGGCTAGGGCACCATATGACCCAGAGATGATGGAAATGTAAAACAGCATTTCAAGGCTCACTGCAGTAAGATAGTGATGCCATGGAAAGATCTGACACAGAAGAACCAGCATCACAGATACAAAAGAGCACCTTGCCCATTCTGTCTCCGGTCAGGTTTTGTTTTAATAGCAACAGCCACTTTTGGAATAATCCACTAATGCTTGCTCAGACTGGACTCCTCTACTTTCTCATAAAATGTAGTAAAGGTTCTGTTGCCTACATCTGGATCCCTTTCCCCTAGCTGAGCTGCTTTGTCAGGCCCCAGTGGGAGAGGATGTACTTAGTCCTGCTGCAACTTGAGGTACCCCTTGGGGATTCGTATCCCTTGGGGGTCTCCCCTTCTTTGAGAGGAAGAAGAGGAGGTAATGAGGGGAAAGGGGCATGAAGGTGGGACTGGGAGGAGAGGAGAAAAGAGGCTGAAATCAGGCTGTAAAGTGATTAAATAATAAAACTTTTAAAATGTAGTCAAGGGCTGAGGGTGTGTCTCAGTGGAGGAGTGCTAGCCTAGCATGCACTGAAGACTTGGCTTCAGTCCCCTGTACTACCGTAACCCCCTCAAAAGATGTAAATCAAGCACAAATAAAGTACTAAGTGACATCAATCACATACGTCTTGATGAAGATGTTCTCAATCCTTCAGATATAAAACACACACACCCCCACACACTAAAACATCCATGAATGCCTCACTGCAACACAGCAGTGTGGCTGTGTGTGTACATGTGTGTGTATGTGTGTGTGTATATATATATATTTGTATATGAATGTGTATATGTACATGTGTGCATAAATGTATGGGTATGTGTGTGTACACATACACATGTATGTGTACATATGTACATGTATATATGTATATATATTTATTTTTTATATGGCCAGAGATTAATCTTGGATATCTTCTTCATTCATTATCCATCTCCACATCCCCAATGCTGGAATTAGAAGTGTATACCATGCACATCTTTTTATACGTGGATTCTAGGGTTCAAACTCGTGTTTTCATGCTTCCTCAGCAAACACTTTATCACTAAATTATGCCCCTTGGTCCACCACACAACTCTCAAAAGTTGTTTTGTACACTCATCCTTCACTCCTCTTCTACCACTGCACACATGTTTTTGCTAAGGGCATCTCCAAGGAGCCAAACCCCAAAGATGCTTCCCCATCTACATGTGGTTCACAGGGCATTGGCATTTGCCATTCTGGAAATCCCTAGGCTCTGCCATTCCCTACCACTAACACCATTTTTAACTGTTCCTCTCACTTCTCTTATAACATGTATAAGTCCCTAGGAAATTCTACCTCCTCTGCTCAAGTTTTAAATCTAAGGCCACAAATTAAATACCTTCAGGGACTAGACAGATGCCCAAAGTGAGAGTAGGAGGATCCCTGGCCACTATCTGAAACAAAAGTGTACTAGCCCAACCAAAACGCTGAGCTCTCTCTAGCTCACTGATGCTTCTCGCCCATGTGTCTCAGGAGGCTACATCATCCAATTTGCCAGGAACACTCACAAATTTTATTTTTACAATATTTTTAAACATTGTAAACTATTGTTGTTCATGTTTAAAATTGTGAGCCAAACCAAAGAGAGCCATGGCCTGGAGACAACCTCCAGATCACCATATTGTTTTCTCTTCACCCTAGTCATTCCCAACAACCCCTTCCTGTACCCCTGTTCTGTCTGGCCAGTTCTATCTAACCCCCCATCCAAAGACAGAATGTAGCCCCTGTGTGCTTGCTCTCTCTTTCCCTTCTTCCCCCCGCCCCTCCCGCCACCACACACACACATTCTGGGCTCCTGTAACTGCCCCCTTCTCCTCTTGAATAATACACTGGGTCCTTA